CCTGCTTATGCATTCCAGAATCACATTAGCCCTTTTGGCCACAGCATCGCACTCACCTCATGTTCAGCTAATTATCCATGATGAACCCCAAATCTTTTTCAGAGTCACTGATTTCCAGGATAGAATTCCCTACCCTGTAAATATGGCATTTGTTCTTTGTTCCTAGATGTATATATTTACATTTAGGGTATGTCTACACTACGAAATTAGGTCGAATTTATAGAAGTCGGTTTTTTAGAAATCGGTTTTATATATTCGAGTGTGTGTGTCCCCACAGAAAATGCTCTAAGTGCATTAAGTGCATTAACTCGGCGAAGCGCTTCCACAGTACCGAGGCAAGCATCGACTTCCGGAGCGTTGCACTGTGGGTAGCTATCCCACAGTTCCCGCAGTCTCCGCTGCCCATTGGAATTCTGGGTTGAGATCCCAATGCCTGATGGGGCTAAAACATTGTCGCGGGTGGTTCTGGGTACATATCGTCAGCCCCCCGTTCCCTCCCTCCCCCCGTGAAAGCAAGGGCAGACAATCATTTCGCGCCTTTTTTCCTGAGTTACCTGTGCAGACACCATACCATGGCAAGCATGGAGCCCGCTCAGGTAACCGTCACCCTATGTCTCCTGGGTGCTGGCAGACGCGGTACGGCATTGCTGCACAGTAGCAGCAACCCCTTGCGTTGTGGCAGCAGACGGTACAGTACGACTGGTAGCCATCATCGTCATGTCTGAGGTGCTCCTGGTCGCCTCTGTGAGGTCGATCAGGAGCGCCTGGGCAGACATGGGCGCAGGGACTAAATTTGGAGTGACTTGAGCAGGTCATTCTCTTTAGTCCTGCAGTCAGTCCTATTGAACCGTCTTATGGTGAGCTGGCAGGCGATACGGACTGCTAGCAGTCGTACTGTACCATCTTCTGCCGAGCAGCCATGAGATGTGGATGGCATGCAGTCCTTCTGCACCGTCTGCTGCCAGCCAAAGATGTAAAAGATAGATGGAGTGGATCAAAACAAGAAATAGACCAGATTTGTTTTGTACTCATTTGCTTCCTCCCGCCCCCCCCATCTAGGGGACTCATTCTTCTAGATCACACTGCAGTCACTCACAGAGAAGGTGCAGCGAGGTAAATCTAGCCATGTATCAATCAGAGGCCAGGCTAACCTTCTTGTTCCAATAAGGACAATAACTTAGGTGCACCATTTCTTATTGGAACCCTCCGTGAAGTCCTGCCTGAAATACTCCTTGATGTAAAGCCACCCCCTTTGTTGATTTTAGCTCCCTGAAGCCAACCCTGTAAGCGCCCCTCCCAGCGTCAGAGCAATGGCAAACAATCGGGCATCTGAGAGTGCTGTCCAGAGCAGTCACAATGGAGCACTCTGATGGGGCTAAAACATTGTCGCGGGTGGTTCTGGGTACGTGTCGTCAGGCCCCCGTTCCCTCCTTCCCTCCGTGAAAGCAAAGGCAGACAATCATTTCGCGCCTTTTTTCCTGAGTTACCTGTGCAGACGCCATACCACGGCAAGCATGGAGCCAGCTCAGGTAACCGTCACCCTATGTCTCCTGGGTGCTGGCAGACGCGGTACGGCTTTGCTGCACAGTAGCAGCAACCCATTGCCTTCTGGCAGCAGACGGTGCAATACGATTGGTAGTCGTCCTCGTCGTGTCCGAGGTGCTCCTGGCCACGTCGGCTGGGAGCGCCTGGGCAGACATGGGCGCAGGGACTAAATTTGGAGTGACTTGAGCAGGTCATTCTCTTTAGTCCTGCAGTCAGTCCTATTGAACCGTCTTATGGTGAGCTGGCAGGCGATACGGACTGCTAGCAGTCGTACTGTACCATCTTCTGCCGAGCAGCCATGAGATGTGGATGGCATGCAGTCCTTCTGCACCGTCTGCTGCCAGCCAAAGATGTAAAAGATAGATGGAGTGGATCAAAACAAGAAATAGACCAGATTTGTTTTGTACTCATTTGCTTCCTCCCGCCCCCCCCATCTAGGGGACTCATTCTTCTAGATCACACTGCAGTCACTCACAGAGAAGGTGCAGCGAGGTAAATCTAGCCATGTATCAATCAGAGGCCAGGCTAACCTTCTTGTTCCAATAAGGACAATAACTTAGGTGCACCATTTCTTATTGGAACCCTCCGTGAAGTCCTGCCTGAAATACTCCTTGATGTAAAGCCACCCCCTTTGTTGATTTTAGCTCCCTGAAGCCAACCCTTAAGCGCCCCTCCCAGTGTCAGAGCAATGGCAAACAATCGGGCATCTGAGAGTGCTGTCCAGAACAGTCACAATGGAGCACTCTGATGGGGCTAAAACATTGTCGCGGGTGGTTCTGGGTACGTGTCGTCAGGCCCCCGTTCCCTCCTTCCCTCCGTGAAAGCAAAGGCAGACAATCATTTCGCGCCTTTTTTCCTGAGTTACCTGTGCAGACGCCATACCACGGCAAGCATGGAGCCAGCTCAGGTAACCGTCACCCTATGTCTCCTGGGTGCTGGCAGACGCGGTACGGCTTTGCTGCACAGTAGCAGCAACCCATTGCCTTCTGGCAGCAGACGGTGCAATACGATTGGTAGTCGTCCTCGTCGTGTCCGAGGTGCTCCTGGCCACGTCGGCTGGGAGCGCCTGGGCAGACATGGGCGCAGGGACTAAATTTGGAGTGACTTGACCAGGTCATTCTCTTTAGTCCTGCAGTCAGTCCTATTGAACAGTCTTATGGTGAGCGGGCAGGCGATACGGACTGCTAGCAGTCGTACTGTACCATCTTCTGCCAGGCAGGCAAGAGATGAGGATTGCTAGCAGTCGTATTGTACCATCTTATGCCAGGCAGGCAAGAGATGAAGATGGCTAGCAGTCGTACTGTACCATCTTCTGCCGAGCAGCCATGAGATGTGGATGGCATGCAGTCCTTCTGCACCGTCTGCTGCCAGCCAAAGATGTAAAAGATAGATGGAGTGGGTCAGAACAAGAAATAGACCAGATTTGTTTTGTACTCATTTGCCTCCTCCCCTGTCTAGGGGACTCATTCCTCTAGATCACACTGCAGTCACTCACAGAGAAGGTGCAGCGAGGTAAATCTACCCATGTATCAATCAGAGGCCAGGCTAACCTCCTTGTTCCAATAACAACGATAACTTAGGTGCACCATTTCTTATTGGAACCCTCCGTGCAGTCCTGCCTGAAATACTCCTTGATGTACAGGCACCCCCTTTGTTGATTTTAGCTCCCTGAAGCCAACCCTGTAAGCCGTGTCGTCAGTCGCCCCTCCCTCTGTCAGAGCAACGGCAGACAATCGTTCCGCGCCTTTTTTCTGTGCGGACGCCATACCAAGGCAAGCATGGAGGCCGCTCAGCTCACTTTGGCAATTAGGAGCACATTAACCACCACACGCATTATCCAGCAGTATATGCAGCACCAGAACATGGCAACGAGATACCGGGCGAGGAGGCGACGTCAGCGCGGTCGCGTGAGTGATCAGGACATGGACACAGATTTCTCTGAAAGCATGGGCCCTGACAATGCATGCATCATGGTGCTAATGGGGCAGGTTCATGCTGTGGAACGCCGATTCTGGGCTCAGGAAACAAGCACAGACTGGTGGGACCGCATAGTGTTGCAGGTCTGGGACGATTCCCAGTGGCTGCGAAACTTTCGCATGCGTAGGGGCACTTTCATGGAACTTTGTGACTTGCTTTCCCCTGCCCTGAAACGCATGAATACCAAGATGAGAGCAGCCCTCACAGTTGAGAAGCGAGTGGTGATAGCCCTGTGGAAGCTTGCAACACCAGACAGCTACCGGTCAGTTGGGAATCAATTTGGAGTGGGCAAATCTACTGTGGGGGCTGCTGTGATGCAAGTAGCCCACGCAATCAAAGATCTGCTGATATCAAGGGTAGTGACCCTGGGAAATGTGCAGGTCATAGTGGATGGCTTTGCTGCAATGGGATTCCCTAACTGTGGTGGGGCTATAGACGGAACCCATATCCCTATCTTGGCACCGGAGCACCAAGCCGCCGAGTACATAAACCGCAAGGGGTACTTTTCGATAGTGCTGCAAGCTCTGGTGGATCACAGGGGACGTTTCACCAACATCAACGTGGGATGGCCGGGAAAGGTGCATGATGCTCGCATCTTCAGGAACTCTGGTCTGTTTCAAAAGCTGCAGGAAGGGACTTTATTCCCAGACCAGAAAATAACTGTTGGGGATGTTGAAATGCCAATATGTATCCTTGGGGACCCAGCCTACCCCTTAATGCCATGGCTCATGAAGCCGTACACAGGCAGCCTGGACAGTAGTCAGGAGCTGTTCAACTACAGGCTGAGCAAGTGCAGAATGGTGGTAGAATGTGCATTTGGATGTTTAAAGGCGCGCTGGCGCAGTTTACTGACTCGCTTAGACCTCAGCGAAACCAATATTCCCACTGTTATTACTGCTTGCTGTGTGCTCCACAATATCTGTGAGAGTAAGGGGGAGACGTTTATGGCGGGGTGGGAGGTTGAGGCAAATCGCCTAGCTGCTGGTTACGCGCAGCCAGACACCAGGGCGGTTAGAAGAGCACAGGAGGGCACGGTACGCATCAGAGAAGCTTTGAAAAACAGTTTCATGACTGGCCAGGCTTCGGTGTGAAAGTTCTGTTTGTTTCTCCTTGATGAAACCCCCCCGCCCCTTGGTTCACTCTACTTCCCTGTAAGCTAACCACCCTCCCCTCCTCCCTTTAATCATTGCTTGCAGAGGCAATAAAGTCATTGCTGCTTCACAGTCATGCATTAGTTATTCATTCATCACACAAACAGGGAGATGACTACCAAGGTATCCCAGGAGGGGTGGTGGAGGAGGGAAGGAAAATGCCACACAGCACTTTAAGCACAGCACTTTAAAAGTTTACAACTTTAAAATTTATTGAATGACAGCCTTCTTTTTTTGGGGCAATCCTCTGTGGTGGAGTGGCTGGTTGGCCGGAGGCCCCCCCACCGCGTTCTTGGGTGTCTGGGTGTGGAGGCTATGGAATGCAGCAGCCTCAGCATTGAATCCTGCCTCCTCTCATCACGCTGCTGCCACATTTGAGCTTCAGCCCTGTCTTCAGCCCGCCACTTACTCTCTTCAGCCCGCCACTTACTCTCTTCAGCCCGCCACCTCTCCTCCCGGTCATTTTGTGCTTTCCTGCACTCTGACATTATTTGCCTCCACGCATTCGTCTGTGCTCTGTCAGTGTGGGAGGACAGCATGAGCTCGGAGAACATTTCATCGCGAGTGCGTTTTTTTTTCTTTCTAAGCTTCACTAGCCTCTGGGAAGGAGAAGATCCTGTGATCATTGAAACACATGCAGCTGGTGGAGAAAAAAAAAAGGACAGCGGTATTTAAAAAGACACATTTTATAAAACAGTCGCTACACTCTTTCAGGGTAAACCTTGCTGTTAACATTACATACATAGCACATGTGCTTTCGTTACAAGGTCGCATTTTGCCTCCTCCCACCGCGTGACTACCCCCTCAACCTTCTCCCCCTCCCTGTGGCTAACAGCGGGGAACATTTCTGTTTAGCCACAGGCAAACAGCCCAGCAGGAATGGGCTCCTCTGAGTGTCCCCTGAAGAAAAGCACTCTATTTCAACCAGGTGACCATGAATTATATCTCACTCTCCTGAGGATAACACAGAGAGATAAAGAACGGATTTTGGTTGAATGCCAGCAAACATACACTGCAATGCTTTGTTCTACAGTGATTCCCGAGTACGTGTTACTGGCCTGGAGTGGTAAAGTGTCCTACCATGAAGGACGAAATAAGGCTGCCCTCCCCAGAAACCTTTTGCAAAGGCTTTAGGACTACATCTAGGAGAACCGCAAATGCCAGGGCAAAGTAATCCTTTCACATGCTTGCTTTTAAACCATGTATAGCATTTTAAAAGGTACACTCACCAGAGGTCCCTTCTCCGCCTGCTGGGTCCAGGAGGCAGCCTTGGGTGGGTTCAGGGGGTGCTGGCTCCAGGTCTAGGGTGAGAAACAGTTCCTGGCTGTCGGGAAAACCGGTTTCTCCACTTGCTTGCTGTGAGCTATCTACAACCTCCTCCTCATCATCATCTTCTTCGTCCCCAAAACCTACTTCCGTATTGCCTCCATCTCCATTGAAGGAGTCAAACAACACGGCTGGGGTAGTGGTGGCTGAACCCCCTAAAATGGCATGCAGCTCATCATAGAAGCGGCATGTTTGGGGCTCTGACCCAGAGCGGCTGTTCGCCTCTCTGGTTTTCTGGTAGGCTTGCCTCAGCTCCTTCAGTTTCACGCAGCACTGCTTCGGGTCCCTGTTATGGCCTCTGTCCTTCATGCCCTGTGAGATTTTCACAAAGGTTTTGGCATTTCGAAAACTGGAACGGAGTTCTGATAGCACGGATTCCTCTCCCCAAACAGCGATCAGATCCCGTACCTCCCGTTCGGTCCATGCTGGAGCTCTTTTGCGATTCTGGGACTCCATCATGGTCACCTGTGCTGATGAGCTCTGCATGGTCACCTGCAGCTTGCCACGCTGGCCAAACAGGAAATGAGATTCAAAAGTTCGCGGTTCTTTTCCTGTCTACCTGGCCAGTGCATCTGAGTTGAGAGTGCTGTCCAGAGCGGTCATAATGGAGCACTCTGGGATAGCTCCCGGAGGCCAATACCATCGAATTGTGTCCACAGTACCCCAAATTCGAGCCGGCAACGTCGATTTAAGCGCTAATCCACTTGTCAGGGGTGGAGTAAGGAAATCGATTTTAAGAGCCCTTTAAATCGAAATAAAGGGCTTCATTGTGTGGACGGGTGCAGGTTTAAATCGATTTAACGCTGCTAAATTCGACCTAAAGTCCTAGTGTAGACCAGGGCTTAGACAGGTTTCAGAGTGGTAGCCGTGTTAGTCTGTATCAGCAAAAACAATGAGGAGTACTTGTGGCACCTTAGAGACTAACAAATGTATTTGAGCATAAGCTTTCATGGGCTAAAATCCACTTCTTCAGATGCATGGAGTGGAAAATACAGTAGGCAGGTATAAATACACAGCACATGAAAAGATGGGAGTTGCCTTACCAAGTGGGGGGTCAGTTCTAGCAAGGCAATTCAATTAAAGTGGAAGTGCGCTATTATCAACAGGAGGAAAAATCACTTTTGTCGTGGTAATCATGGTGGCCCATTTCAAACAGTTGACAAGAATGTGTGAGTAATAGTAGGGGGAAATGAGCATGGGGAAATTAGTTTGTTTGCTTGCCCCCAGTTTACCAAGAAATCTAGATTGCTTTGTTTCAGAGACCTGTCTTCTTCATTATTTACCACTTCCCCAATTTTTGTGTCATCTGAAAACTTTATCACTGATGATTTTGCTTTCTTCCAGGTTGTAGCGAGGCGGTGCGGCTCCCTGCCGCCCCAGAGAGGGTCGAGCCCCTCCAGACACCAGAGTGGGTGGAGCCAGGAAGCTCTCAGCCCGCCTCTCAGAGAGACATGCAGCGACCCAGAAGTAGAAAGACACGACCCAGAAATATAAAGGCGGGCCCTCAGAGCTCACTAGAGGACCAGCTGCTGGGGAGGCCAGACGTAGCCAGCCTAGACCGCGACTGGGAAAACCCCACAGCCCCAGGTCCACGCCAAGACTGGCTGGCCCTGCCCTGCGCCAGCTATCCAGGGGAGTTACCGGTCCTGCCCTGCACCAGCTACCCAGGGAAGTTACCGGCCCTGCCCTGCACCAGCTACCCAGGGAAGTTACCGGCCCTGCCCTGCGCCAGCTACCCAGGGAAGTTACCGGCCCTGCCCTACGCCAGCTACCCAGGGGAGTTACCAGCCCTGCCCTGCGCCAGCTACCCAGGGGAGTTACCAGCCCTGCCCTGCGCCAGCTACCCAGGGGAGTTACCAGCCCTGCCCTGTGCCAGCTATCCAGGCCGGCCCTTTGTCCACTGCCCCGAGCAACCCATGGTGCTGGACCCCCGGAGAACACTTCTGGGACCCAGATACCAGAAGGAGGGGAGTTAGGAAGTAGCCCGGGGCAGCCGACCCTAGTCTGACTGTAACTCTGCCAGAACCCATGTCAGTGTGTTGCAGTCAGGATCCCCACTGACCCAGCAGCGGGTCGTTTGCTGCTGTGAGGGCCCCGGGCTGGGACGCAGTGGAGTGGGTGGGCCTGCGTCCCTCCTACCACCCAACTCATGGGCAGCAGTCTCTCCCTCTTCCAGGTCCTTGGAGGCCTGGGCTAATTCACACATGCTGTATTGCTCAGCCCCTGCCTGAGGGCCTGAGCTACTGACTATTTGGTGCCCCGCCCTGACTCAGGGCCCGGGCCTACAGTGCTCCATCCAGTTACCACAAGGGCTGCCGAGGGAGACTCTGGTGGCTGGACAAATTCCCCAAAGTTAACTGTGTGTAGCGAGCCGGTGTGGCTCCCTGCCGCCCCGGAGAGGGTCGAACCCCGGCATAGCCCCTTTACACAGGTCATTAATAAAAATGTTAAATACCATGGGCTGACACCCTTTCCTACATTACCCCATTAGAGAGACACCTGTTGTTGATGATTTGCCAATTACTATTACATTTTCAGACCTGTTAGCTTTTAATCCATTTAATATGTGCATGTTAATTTTATATCTTTCTAGTTCTTTTAATCAAAATGTTGTGTGGTACCACGTCAAACACTTTACAGAAGTGCAGGTATATTACATCAACATTATTACTTTTATCAACCAAACTTGCAATCTCAAAAAAAGGGGCCAAGCATGATATTCAGAGTCCAGAAACTCAAACACAATCTGTCAGTGTAGTTTTTCGTGCTCTTCCAGTTTCATTGATCTTGATAAAATTCATCATTTTAATTATCTTAGAGCTTATTTCCCAGCTGCATTTAACAATCCATTCTGCATACAATTCTGAATGCAAAACTCCACATTCACACATGCAGAGTAAGTTACAGTACATACAAATAACAGATTGGAACCTATGTATGCAATTATATATTTTATGCATGCAAATCTGGAGTTTTGTACATACAGATAGATGCACTCACAAGTTACAGAGGTACAGTTTAAAAAGTCATTTCAGTATGTTGTCCTACAGTACTGATTTTTGTGGCCCAATCTCTATAGAAAGCAAGAGAAAACAATTACCAAGTAAATTAGGAGGGGGGAAATTAAGGGCCTGTTTCACCGCTTCATTATTCCAGTTTTACACCTGTGTAACTCCACTGATCTAAACGGAATTACACCAGCATAATATTGCAGTAATGAAGTTGTGAAACAAGCTCTATAGATGAAATCCTGGCCCAACGGAAGTCAATGATAAAACTCCAATTTGCTTCAATGGAACTGGGATTTACTTGCAGGCTTTTTTGCAAAAAGAAAAGGAGTACTTGTGGCACCTTAGAGACTAACAAATTTATTTGAGCATAAGCTTTCGTGAGCTACAGCTCACTTCATCGGATGCATGCAAGCCTTTTTTGGTGAGCAGAGATTCATCCAGTCAGGCATGGTAAAATATTAATGGCTTACTTTGACAGCAATTTCTTTTCATTTTTTTGCACGTTATTGCTTAGTAACCATCTTGTTTCCAGGATTCACATCCTGATCTAGTTCCCATTAGCTTTCTTGAGCAATGGATCAGGCCTGAAATTATCTAGAATGTCTGCCCCTGCTCCGCCCCCAAAGGAATTGTTTTTCATACAACTGTTGCCTTTGTAAATGGTTTGTTTGTCATTGTTGAAACTGCTGTGTTGTTCAAAATTAAATGGCTGGTTTCACCTCATTAATGTATGGTGGAATAATTCAACTTGTGGGTTCAGGCTCATTTTAAAAAGGAAAAAAGATTAATTTCAATCCAGTGACATTATCATGATCATCAAGATTCAATTTTTTTAACTTATCACATTGCAGAAACTTCCATTAATATGCTTATTCAAATTTAGGCATGTATTTCACATAGTTTAATAATATTAATAAATAAAATACAAAAATAAAGCAGCATGTCACATATGAAATTAATATCTCTCTAACACAAAATACAAGGCATTTATATATAATCCAGTATAAAATATTAAAAAGTCTGAATTATTCATTAAAGGTCATGGAAAAAATTAACACAATTTCTATTCTATTCCTCTGTTACATATATATGTCAGGTTTCCCATGAAGAATAAAAACAGAATGCCCCATCTTCTGGATTAAGCACACTTAAAGGAACACTATCAACTTGAAATCTAATTTCAAATTATTAATTAACAGTAGTTTCAGGTTGCCCCTGAAACCACTTGCACATTTTCAAGATCCAAAAATCACGTTTCTATTTTAAGATGTTTTTATCCTCTCTGTTGCTGTGCGAAAGACCCACATAGCCAGGGGAAACAGAATTTCTAGCTACACAGGGAAAACAGTGAATCTGAGTATATATGGCTGTGCATTGAATCTGATGATAACATCACAGCATCTTGTGTGTTTTCTTGTGGCTTTATAGTCATTTCTGCAAAGAGGAAGCTTACAAAACAGATATCACACAGGTATGTGTAGGCACCCACTGAAGACTTGACATGATGCCAGGATCTTTTTTCAATCAGTTTTTTGCATCTGTCTTTCTCAAAGTGTTTACAACCTTTATTGATAGCTGCTCTCCATTCAGGTCTGTCCTTGGCTGAGTCTTTGAAGTTATCAATATTTATGCCACATGAGTTGTGATGCTTCAGGGTGTGTTAGAAGCATCTATATTGACTGCCCTTCTTGGGCTTTCTGAGTTTTAGCTCACCACAGAGGACTTTTTTCTGGAGTCTGTCATTCCCCATTCTGATAATATGACCTGTCTGTCCAAGCAGAGCTTTGATAATCATTGCCTCAAAGCTGGCTGTTTTTGCTCTTTCAGGGATGATAATAGTTTATATTTTGTCTTGCCAGTGGACCTTCAGAACAGTGCGAAGAGAGCACATGTGACAACTGAGTGAATCTGAGTGAGTACAATGTGCCAATGCAGAGTAAATAAACTGAAAATGAGAGAACCATTTCCCCCCCCCCCACTATCCTTTACTTCCAGCAGCCTTGGGTATTATTTGTAAGAACAGTTAAAACTAAAATCTGATAAAAGTGTTGAAGTTGGTCCAATTCCAATTGATCTCTTTTTCACTGTGCATTTAAGATTATAAAAGTTTCCAGCTCTCAGGGAACAACATGCCACTGCCAGCCACTGAAGCCATAAGACATCATGTGCATCTTCACAATACCCAGTATTCCATGATATAACACAAATTGCCTCTGTTAATCCACCCACCATCAATTCATCAGCTAGATGAACTGATCATTATACCTAATCTTTGACTCTTCTCCATTTATTGAGATTTGTTTACCAGTTCTCAAAAATGTCTCATCAACTGTGTAACCTCCACCATCAGCAGTCTCTTGCCAGACTGCTCTTTATCATCCTTTCTTCCCTTGTCCTCCTCTTTCAATTGCTATTCTGCCTATTTCATTCCTCCACTCATTTGCATCACTCTGTGTTCTCCCTTATCATTCCTTAAGTGAACTTAATGTTCCGAAAATGTGCCAGACTGAGAGCCCTGATCTTGTACTGCCGCAGCCCCTTGATTCATGTATTCTCTTCCAGTTAAGGGGTGAAATCCTGGCCACCTTGAAGTTAATGGAATTTTCAGTTTTGACTTTGGTGAGGCCAGGATTTAATCCAGAGACCACTATGGAAAGGTAAGTGTACAGAGAACCTAGAAAGTGGTTAGAAAGACCTTAAGATAGAGAATGGTGACACACTGAAAAATAAGAGAGAGACAGAATGACAGAAAAAGGGATGGATGGTAAATGAAGTTAAAGAAAGAGAATCAGAAAACAAAAAAGGTTATTATAAAGAA